TAAATAATTTACAAGACTAAAATACTTTAAAGATAGAATGAAGAGATACCAACTCAAATTTCTCTAAGTTGGGGTGAGCTTTTTTTTTTTTTTTTTTGAACTAATTTTTTGTCAATTTGCTACTCCACAAGGTACTGATTACTAGACAACAATATTTTGTTACAATATAACCATAACTTACCAATTTATGGTTTCAAAGTTTCCAACGATTTTTTCTTTGTTTCCTCATATCCACATGTTAAAAAATAGGGAAATTATCATTGGTACAGGACTTTTATCAATGATACACCTGCTTAACTTTTAATTATTAGTGGTACACCTATATTTTCAACAAATTATCTACAGTATGCATTCCGTTAATTAAACATTAATATTATAGTTTAATGACGTACAATTTTGACCAATTTTAACTCCCTCCTTTTATTTTCCCCACCTTAATTTCCCTCCTATATTTAAAGTAACCCACCCATCCACCTCTGTCACTATATAAATGGAGAAGAAAAAGAAGATCAAAGCTACATAAAATCAGAGCAAATGAGGAGGCTCCATTTATATAATGACAAAGGTGAGGTAGGTTACCTTACATAAGAAGAGGGAAATTAAGGAGGGGAGAAAAGAAGGGAGTTAAAATTGGTCAAAATTGCAGTTATAGTTAACAAAATTCTTATTATAGCTAATTAGTTGAATGTACAGGTGTACCACTGATAGTTAAAACTTAAGTAGGTGTATCATTGATAAAAGCCCAAACGTGGGGTGTACCAATGATAATTTTCCTAAAAAATATAATATTTTCAGTTAGTAATACGGAGTATATAAAATGAATAATTATTGTCTTGTTGAACACTTATGGAAAATAATTGATTTAAACAATAGTGTGAATGGTATTTCACATACATACATGTATATTGAGGGGGGGGGGATTACACACAACAAGGTACACAAGCACATATCAAAATATATAATTAATAAATTAAGTTTTAAAATAGTTGTAAGCTTAGATAAATAATAATAATAATAATAATAATAATAACAAAAAGTAGAAAGATTAAAATATGATGATTGCAGCTTGGTTTCAAAAAATAAAAAAATGAGGAACGGGTGTAGAGTTTTTTCAATTCTTTCCAAATGCAATGGTCAACATGTTTATGTAACTTAACAAGTGTCTGTGAATAGTTGTGACTTGTGAACACTTGTTAGATTATACAGTGGTCTAGTCAAAGTATTTTATACGGAGTAACTTATTAATAAGTGCATGTATAAATTAATAAATTTGTTTTTGAAATTCAAGGAATACTTTTTTCATTTTAGACAAATGTAAAAGATTAAATTTTGTATGTAAAAAGATAAATTAAAATATTAAATATTTGGCAAATTTGAAGACTTAAAGTGGTTATATCCTTTCTTTGCATTGTAAGTTACGAGTAGTAATTCTTGTAACTCTTATGTTTATGTATGAACTTATCTAATCATGCTACTCACGCAACTATGAAGCTAAGTAACAATTTGTTTGTTGGATTGGTATATTAACATTAATCAATACAAAATTGTCACAATTTACATGAACAAAAAGTCAATTTATTAATTAGATTAGGATACAGACAAAATAGGTCTCTACTAGTATAATTCATACTTTGCGTTTTAAAATTGGTTGTTAATCATCATGATGCACAACGTCAGATCTTAATTTTCTAAAATTGTCACTATATTATTATTTTTAATTTTTTTTAGGAATTCTTAATATTGTCCTTGTTAGTAGTCTATTACTACTATTAATTAAGATGTACTGTATTTATACATATTAAACAACACAAATCCTAGAGAAACAAAATTAACAAAGTCTAACCAATCATTGTCATTGAACTAACAAGATATACCGTACAATATTGTACGTCCAAAGTTTAAAATTAACAATTAGGAAGTAAGTTGACAATAATCATTTTATTTTAAGTATGGTAAAAATAGTTACTACCTAGGAGCTCGGGTAACAATGAATAAGATATTCTATTTAGAACTAGGTGGTTAAGGGCAATTAGCTGTTTAAGAGCTTCCCAGGTTACTCAATTTAAGTAACAAATTAGTTTTTGGGCCCGGACGATGTCCCGGGTTATTACATGAAACTAATTTATTATTAATATACATTATAATTTATGATTTAATTTTCTTGTAATTAAATTTGTTATTAATAATGTCATTTACTACATATTAATATTTTGCTTCTCGTCTTCTTTCCTCAACAACGACCCCAACGCCGCTCACAAATCCTGACCCCATCATTTCCAGCATCCATTTCGACTGATCTAACCACAACAACTCTAACACCGCTTTGTGGCGAGAATAAAAAGACTCCCTAGTTTTAAAGGTGTAACTTAGGGCCATATCAACCCCTTAGGGAAAGCTTATACTTTGCGGTAGCACTTTTTGTTGGAAGTTCTTGATATAAAATAAGAGATCGAGTTGGGGAAAAACAAGAGAGAGAGAAAAAAAAATGAAAGGGGAAAATCCCACATTGGTTGGTGGGAAAGGTTTTTCCTTGTTTTTATATTGTAGTGTCTTAGCACTACTTAGTTGAGTGAGTGTGAGGTAAGTGTTACTCCACACACACACGCGCGGCTCGCGCGCCGAGCCGGGTCAGGCCTCGGGTCTTGGGGAATGCGATGCGCGGGCGTGGGTCCTTGATATCTTTTTGGAGAAATTAATTCCTTGTTTTATTGCTTTCGTTGTTGACTGGCTGAATGAATCTGGTCGTTTTCTTAGCCAAATTCGTCCCTTGTTTTATGCTTCTGGTCTCCCTTCTACTGCCTATATATAATCGTTGCTTTTCCCAGTCAGAATACACAACACAATCAGTCTTATCTCTTCTCTAAAAAATTATCTAAACACGATTTCTTTCTGTTCTGTTTTTTGGGCAAATATTCTGAGTTCCAGTCGGGTTTGTGAGTGCACATAAACTCCGGCGCCGTGCTTATCCTGGAGGGCGACTGCTTCTAGTCTACTGCACCGGGAGGTAGCGCAGAATCGTCTTTTAGGTCAGTGGTTCTCCACGACGCGACTATTGTCAGTTTGGTCACATATCAAGAGATAAGTAATTTCTGTTTTATTGCTTAGTAGTATAACAATCTAAAAGACGATTATGGCTTCCAAATTTATGATTCCTGATATGTCTAAGTTATAACCTCTTGATGGAAAGAATTATAAATGTTGGGCACTTGGGCTGTTAGGATGCGTTTTTATTTGGAGCAAATTGATGTTGCATATGTTCTTGATGATATTGTTGAACCTGATGATAAGGATGATTTGTCTGAAACTGGTTTTAAGTTTGCTAAGGATGATAGAACCTGTAAGGGCATGTTGGATGGTTGAGGTAGAAGAGGAGTGAGGAGACAAAAAGTTGAATGGGTATAATGAAAAAGTCAAAAGTACCGCTAATAATACTAATACAAATTACCAACATGCCCTTTGAGTAACAAATCATGTTACTCAAATTGAGTAACTTGAATTTCATCGTTGTTTAAGGAGTGAGAAATAATAGAGTAAGAGAGAGTGAGAACTGGGGGTGCTAATTGCCTAATCGAGTTGGGCAGCTCGTGAGAACTCGAACTCGACTCGAGTTGACTCGTGTTCGCTTGAAACTGCTTGAAACTTGATAAGTGTACAAGAAATTCATCAATTTTCTATTCTTCTATCTTTAAAAACAAAAAATTACATTAACACTTTAAAAATACACTTTAATTGAAAAAAAATTATATAAAGAGAAGAAAATCTATAGTCAACAAAATGCTTGAAATTCAAGTGACCTAAACCTTTTAATGAGTAGCATAGCTCATGATCGGTTCAAAACTTAACAAGCACGAGTCGAGCATCCCACTGCTTGCGATCGAGTCACTCGATTTGCACCACTATCGAGGACCATTGATTTGTACATTTATATTGTACGGAGTATTATAAAATTTAAGAGATTTCCAAAAAAAGGAAGTGTCTCATTAATTAAAAAGGTTAATAAGGCATTTGTAGCATTTAATTAAGTATAACAAACATATTCTCATAAATCAAGGTTTCACGGTTCTTGAAATGTCACGTGTGCTCAATCATGCGTAATAAATTAAATAGTTATCGAGGAAATGTTAGCCTGTTAGGAAACATAATAAAAAATATCTAAGAACTGAGATTTAATCACTTTAAGCAGATCGTCCAAATAGTTCCAAATGAAAGATATTCTGATCACATCAGCATTACATTTGTCCATAAATGGATCCCTAATATCTAAGAACTGAGATCATTAATAAAAATGTACATACGTACATGAAATTACTAGTAAAGAATATCTAAAACCATCTAAGTGTAAAGCTGATAGTAAAACTTTGAAGCTATTTAGAAATTAACTTTGAATACAAAACAACATGATGATCATACAGCTTCTATTCATTCATAATTTGCCTTACACCATTTAATGGTACTCCGTATTATTTTTTATATTATATATATTTTTTAAGAATATTATTTACCTATCATATATCCTTTTTTTTTAAAAAAAAAACAAAGGATAAGGGAAAAAAAAAAAGATAAACAAGAGGGCAAAAACGTCATATTATTGTTCCTAAGTACACCTAAGGACTTACCCATGGACGATTTTTTACCATTCTCATCCATTTTGTTTCTCTATTTATACCCTTTTTCAAGATAACTTCTCACCAACTCTCCCATTTTTCCTTCCTTCTTTCTCTCTCCTATCTCATCCATTTTCTCTCTCCTATCGCTTTCTCTCTCTCTCTAAAAAAAAAAGTCCCATGAAATTTAACAAAACCCATGAAATAATCATTTAAAAATCTCTCTATATGAAACACATAACCTTGTTACGCCGTGTTCGTCTTGCTCAATCATTCTCCGTTGTTTTTCTCTATTGGTTTTACGTTTTCTCAGAGATAAACTCGTTTTAAAACCCTATTTTTTAAAATAATATTTGTAGCTTTTTAAAACTTTTTTGTGAATTTTTTTTTTAAAAAATGAGAGCGTCGAAAACCATCATAAAAAGCGACGGAAAAAGCTCGTCGAAAGCAGTGGTAAGTTCAGGATCGTCAGGAGGGTGTAACAGCATCGACGAAAAAAAGCGTCGAAGATTGGATTCAAACCGCGAATCGGCTCGAAGATCAAGGGAGAAGAAGCAGAAACATTTGGACAATCTGCTGAAAGAGGTTAGCGGATTGGAATTACAAAACAAAGAGATAATGAACAAAATTGACGGAATATCTAACGTTTTAGGTGGGTTGAATGATCAAAACAATGAGCTGAAAACGCTGAAAGATAAGCTCGAAAAGCGATTGGATGCATTGGAGTCAGTCATAGAGATTGGGAAGGTTGTCAGAGGATCGTCTTCTAATATTAATTCAGCAGAAGAAATTAATAATAATAATTGTCATCCAATGATGAAGCCTTGGCAATTGCCTTGCCATTACCCTTCTCTCCCTATTTTTGCAACTTCTTTTAAGGATTTTAATGTTTAAGGGTACTTTTGGGATTTCATGTGTTGTTATCTTAGTTTTATCATTTTAGGGGGTTTAAGGTTTTTTATTTTGGGTTGCTTTTGTAGGTCTTGGACCGTTTTTATGTGTTTATTTTATTTTATTTTATTAATGTACTTTTTATTTAGTCAAAGTTTTTGTTCAATGAAGTACTCTAATTTTCTAGTTTATTTTGTGTTTTTTTTCCTTTCTTTAGTTGCTTTATTTTACAATTTAATCCGATCCGTATCAATTTGAGTATTAAATTGCTCTCAAAGTAGTTACGTTGTATACTCGCACCACCGTTTTATAATACTTGTATTTGTTCTCACCTTTTGAATTCAAATTGATAAAAAATAAAAATAATGATTATCTTCAAAACAATGTCCATAATTTTATTTGTAGCCTCTCATTATTCATTAAATGACACCTTAAATATATATAATTTATACTTGTTTCTAAGGTCACATTCATTTCATTTTGAATTATTCAAAATTAATACTCCGTATATAATCTTAATACAGTGAAAATTAGTTCAGAGTTACTTTTTAACAAAATTCATCAGTGTAACAATACCTTAAAATCATATTATATATAAGAAAAGGTTTTTTTTTCCCAAAAAAGTCAAATACTAAATATTTTTTACGATAGTAGAAACTCTAGAAAGAGGTACATGAATAGAGAGAGGGAAGAATCCTCGAACACTATCGAGGGATCACAAAGATTGAGAGAGAATATACAACCAATTGGTTTAATTCATTAGTTCATCTACAATCTCGTGTGTCATCATATAAGAGAAAAAAAATGACTGCTTAAAATGTGAAAGCTAGCTCATTGTATAGTTTAATAAGTTGATTATATTAATGCTGTCAAAACACATTATATGAGGTGAAGTACTCTTGAACAATTTAGATTTTTTTTTTTTTTTTTTTTTTTTTTTTTTTTTTTTTTTTTTTTGGTGAGGACACAATTTACAGCCTAAGATATTATTGGCTATTGCTGGCATAAGCTTGTGAAGATAGAGAATTTAATGTAGGTTGATTTGATTTTAGAATATACTTAGGTAACAATCTTGCAGAAATAGAAAAGAAATAAAAATATACAAAAGAAGAAAGCTGAGTAGGCCAATTATTATTAATCTTAAGAAAGGTAGTTTTTAATTAAATTTTTATGATATGTAATCCTAGAAAAATGAGGTAAATTGAGGCCTAAATTCTACGGAGTATGTCATATAATTTAACTAACCTCTAAAGCATTATTTATCCATCTAAAGTATTTAAATTTAGGCCAATCTATTTATTACCTTGTTTTCACTCTTGTTATAGGATTAATAAGTTTGGAATAGTAGATCGGTTAAGAAAAATGAGTTTTGATACAAGTAATTAATTAAGTTAACTTTAGTAAATAAGATCTAAATAAGTTTTGTTACATTGAGATAAATTTAAATTAACTAAAGTAATCACACCTTAACCTAGCTGTTTGGATACTTGTATGAGAACAAAAGGCCCAAAATGTATTGATGCAAAGTAGGTCAATATTATAAAACTAAGCAAATAGGTTAATTTAACTAAGCAAACCTTGGTGGACTTGGTGGAGAATTTACTTGTGTAACGGAGTTGGTGGAAAACTTATCTTGTGATTATTTGAATCTCATCAACTAGACAATTACACTTGCTTGGGGAGTTGGGGCCCTAGCTTGGGGGTAGGGGGATTCACTTATCTTCCCTCCTTTACGCTCAAGCGTTGACCTACGAAGCTGGACTGACTTATAACGTGAGAAAGGTGTTGGTTTAATACGTAGGGTCTTTCATCTTACTTGGAAAAAAAAAAAGTAGGCCAATACACCACCTGTAGTAGATTGATAATGATAAAGTCGTTAATAATGAATTACAACAAAAGTTTTAAATTGGGTGGTAATAATTTCTCGTATTATTTTTAAAAAGATGGTTTTTGACAAAATTTTCTATTTTACTTAAAAGAGGAAGATGAGTGGGATTTATCACTATAAATCGAGATTAATCAAAGCAAGTATAGAAAATCAATCCATTATATTAATTTTACAAATTTGAAATACTCCATATTCTGTATCATAAGTTCTTAACTATGCCTCATGCGCACACATGCAATAAAAAATAAATAAATAAAAAAAATGAAGAAACTTTAAGTTTTGAGTTCCTCCTGTTTAGTGAAGTCGATCAAATGTATTAGCATTCACACGCATTCATAATCAAAATCTCTTAATTATATGCAAGTATATATTGTAATTATAATTATGATCTCGTAACATGCTAAAATAAAAGATTTTGTATTCAGTCGGTCCAAAATCTTGATTTAGAAATAGTAACACCGTATTAATATTCGATTGCATGCTAAAAATACGACGTACCATATAGCTTTTCTAAGCTGTTTTTACTATAAAAAGAACACCAAATGTTAACTACCCATATAATTTATAATCTCATTTGATTTAAACCTTTGTTAATTACCCTAGTTCAAAAATGGTGAGACTAAGCAATAAGAAGTTGATTATAGTCTTTTCATTAACTATGCTCTTGATAGCTAACGCCCTTATATCCCATGCTGATGATGATGACGACGATGATGGTAAGAAGCACCATAAAAAACACAAGAAGAAGCAAGATGACGACGACGACGATGACTGTAGAAAGATGAAGAAGTCGGCTTCTTCATTTATCACACCTTTCTCTCCGACGAAGATGGTGTGTTATGGAGTATTGACTTTTGCTACTGGGGCTATGCTAATTTAATTAGTTATCTATATAGGGTTCGAGATTATGTTATTTAGATACCATGTTTTTAACCAAATAAATTATTTCAATCAAAAGTTTAAGTTAATGGTTATGTATTATATAATCTATTATGTATTTTTACATATTTACGAATTATAATTGTGTTTTTCCTAACTAATTGTTTGATTTAAAAATCATACTAGTACTTGCCTTGATGTTTCTTCATTTTTTTATTGCAGTATTGCTTTTTTTTTTTTTTTTATAATCCCAAATGTCTAAGTTGCACTTTTGACCAATATTATCATTGATGAAGTTCATTTCATTACACTATTAAAAAAGCTAAACATTGATATCACTCAAAAGCACATTGAAACTTATGTAGCAAACTAACAACTTTTTCTGAAAAGTCCAACACAAAATATAGCAAATAAAACGAGACTAGCAAATACTATCCATTATTCCAAATTTCCAATGCAAATGAACTACTTGAACATTGGGGCCTGTTCAGATCGTTGGGCTGCACTGCACACTCATGCTAATTCCCTCATTATTATTATGATATTGTTCCATTTGAACTTAAGCCTGTTTCAATTTACTGAAAACAACTGAACTGAAAGAGTCTGTTTCGATTTGCTGAAAACAATTGAACTAAATTGATTGGAGTTGAAATTAAACTAAACAGAACAAGCCCTTAATCCACACTTATTTGTTTTTTTGGATACCTTTTTTCAATATTAATACGAAGCATTTAAACTCGCACATTAATAATGGTGTAATGTGTTAGTCAAAATGAGTCATATATTATCATAGCCTATTATGTGTCAATATGAGGTGTTCAGGTTAGGTTCGATAAAGTCGAGTAGGATATTTTAAACCCTAACAAATTATTATGTTCAAACAAATTGAAATTCAATTTTGGTATATTTTTTTTGGATCGGTGTTTGACACTTGCCTACCCAACTTAAAATCCAAGCAAAATTTCCAATAAAAATACAATTGGATAAAAAATTGGTTAAGTGGACCCAATTAGATTTTCCGGAAGCATCTCCGTTGGTCCTCTATAGTCTATCCTTAAATCAATCAGTCTACAATAAGGGCTCTTCCATCTCATATTCCTTCTTATCCTACAAACTACCTTCTCATTTTCAAATCTCTTCGCCTTTCAGATCTCTCTTCAACTTCAGGTATCCGCTTATTCAACTACTTTTATTAATTTTTTTCTGCATTTGATTTCAATAATGCTCATATTTTTATTTATCCATCATATTTCTTGGTGATTTAAGCTTTGTTATTATATTTTTGGTTTTGTTTTGTTAACTTTAAATATTATTTGATGGGTCTTTGTTTGAATCTACCTATCTCTAAAATCATTTATTTTACATGAAAGTTTAATGGGTAGCTGTTAGATTAATTTTGTTAAAGTGAACTTTATTCTGAAGCTCGAATCGGCCAATAGTTGTTGAATTGGAGTATATGATATGTATAATAATAGTCAAAATTGTATTTTGTCAAATGTGAAAGAGTTAACGATTCGTAAATACTGTGTTACAGGACGAGTAACATGATTTTACTAGGATAGAACACACCCTTAAGATTTGCAAATGTGGAACTTTATTAGGATAAAAGAAGACATAGTTTATCCCATTATAAGCTTAATGGGTTACTTCCCTTATTGTCATATGGTTTTACCGGGATTTTTTTTTTTGAATCGTCGAGTGGGTATTTTTGCGTGAATCATTTGGATGATACTCTAATTCATTGATATCGGTGTTTTGCTTATTTAAGCCGGATATATACATATGGAGTAGTTGATAACTTGATACAAATGTTGCTTGAATTTATTTCCTTGGAACAGACTATTGTTATGATAGATTTGTTACCTTGCCTTTGGTTGTCTAGGAATGAAAATTCACAATTTTTGCTAATGTTTGATAGCAAAAATCGGGTTTCTTTAACTTTTGGCATGATTGTGGATTTGTTAATTTTGTTTATGTTGCTTATTACAAGTGATTATGTTCCTTTTGGCATTTCTGATGTATTATGTTCATACATTTGAAACTGCAATCCAATCGCTTCATAATTACTTAGGCTGTAGTATACTCCAACTTTCCTTTAAATGAGTTTAACTTTTAGATAGATTTGCCTTGGCCAATGTCATTGATGTCTGATTGTTAATCTCTGACCTATTTTATTGCTACCTTACTATATGTGTGATTGTCTGATATTAATCTCTGGCCTATTTGATTGCTACCTTACTATATGTGTGATTGGATGGACTGCTGAAAGTCACCTCTCTAGGGAGGAAGCGCTGATTAGATGGAGGCTTACTGCACTACTCTTAACGAAATTAGTTGTCACGTTGCATAAACCCCTCACAGTAAAGCTTAAGGCATGATTTGCTGCACTACTCTTTATGGAATTAATTGTCACATTGCATTAACCCTCACAGTGAAGGATATGGCAAGATTTACTGCACTACTCTCTTTCATCTGAGTGTTGGCATATTCGAAATTCTGATAATTTACTATTGGATGAAATTTGTGAATTTTATTTGTATTTCTAGACAGAGAGTATTACAATTCCTCTTAATTTGGTTTATGATTGGCTCTGCTATATGCTTCTATATAACAACATTATTCTTTCCTCAGGAGGATTCAGTAACAGTTTATGGCTATAAAATCCCCGGGTCAAGTGGTTTCGTTGGATCTATTCAGGGAGTTGCTCATTGCTATTTCGCAGTCTGAACCTGAAAAGCTGTTTAGTTCAAGGTCACTGTATGAGCATTGTAAAGGCTTAAATGGTGCTAATAAGGTGAGGGACGAGGACATAACTGAAGAGTTAAGGTCAAAATTGATCTCGATTTCTTGTGAATTGTCTGCAGATAACATCATTCCACCATCAATGGGCATGCAGGAGGTTTAATGTTGATGTCTTTAGGAGTCATTAGGTCTGCTGATAGTCTGATACTCTGTATTTTCTAATTTGTTGTGGTAACATTGCCATTTTAGCAGGGATGTATGGCTCAAATGTAAACATTTTCCTGCTGTTTCATTTAGTACTCTCCAACTCTATGGCAGTTGTGAAGTTCAAAAGCGTAGAGTGATGATGTATAGATTGTCACCTTTAAATATTAAATCGAAGAAATTTGATGCCTTACTGCCAAAGCTTTTGCAATAAAAAGACCTGAAGTGGAAATTTGGAATCAAGGTAGTCTCTTAACAATCAAACCCCAAAGTTGAGCTTCCATTGAATGCATTGAACTTTGAACCATCAAATTCAATCTAAAATGAGCTTGCAAGGAAAATCCTTCAAGGCTATTACGGAGTACATGATATTAATATTCTAATATCTGATATTAATAATCTAATAGTACGTAGTATTTGATGATACTAATATAATACTCGTACTATTTGCTTATCAACTTTATGTTTTCACAAAGAATGCTGAAAAAAAATTCTACATATATGACGAACTTAAGTTTTTTTTTTTCACTTCTTTATGAACATCAAAGCACTTTTGGACTTCAAGCAAGATTGATTTTGAAACACCCATTATCTCGTTAAGGTTTTGCTCTTTTCACTTAAATTAGAAATCTAATGTGTATCTTTTTATGGTTATTGAATGTATAAAATTGCTTTCACACCCCCTGAAATATAACCATTAAACAAAATATAGTAACGATTGTACATGTTCCTTTAAAAAAAAGAGCATTGGTACGTGTATACTCATTTCTTGGGAGCATATGGAATACCATATAGTTAGTGGGCTTGAATTCGTAACCTTAAAATTACAAAGTGAATTCCTCACCAACTTCACTAAGCTACTTGGTTATATAATTTTAAATATTAATAAACAAACTTAATTGGTTAAATATTAATAATACGAGTATGATTTTTTTGCAATTATTTAGAAGGCTTTGAAAAGAAATTCGAAGTAAAAATTTTGCAATATTGATAAAACGGAGGAAATAATAACGTATATTCACTTTTCTCTTCCTAATAAGAATGTGGATAGAAGATAGAACCAAGAACCACTTTGCGAGCCTATTTTGGGACTAAACTGAACCATATTATATGAGAGAGAAAAATATAAGCTAAACTTAACTAAAAATAATTTAAAGAAAACAGAGCCTATGTGAACTCAACAAAGAAATGATTAAAGTCCACCACAACTGTTTTTTTTTTTTAAAAAAAAGGTCTACCGCAATTGAAATTACCAAAATATCCCGCTTCCATTTGTTAACCATAAAACGGTTCGCTTTTTTTAAAAAACAAAAACGGTTCACCTTTCTCCACTTAACTTATTTATTGAAGAAATATAAATGAGCAATTGAGCAAATACAAGTTGCTGTCAAGTACGAAGTATTTCTCAAGTACAAACTAGCAAAATTGCAAAAATTAAAGAGGGAAAAACAGTGAAAGAGTTGAGCAGAGCAATTTTTGTGATGAGACGAAGAACAAGAAAGCCTCCTTCCAATGAATTCGACTTTACAATTGCTGGTATCTTTCTATTTCCTCCAAATTCAACATTTTTTCAAGCTTTTTTTTTTTTTTTTTGCCCAATTTTCAATTTATGTGCTACTATATTTTATTAATAATGTATTCTTTTTGGGGTGGGTATTAAATTTTGGGTTGTTGGGGTTCGTTAAAGTTATAATTATTATGTTTTTTAATGTTTAAATTCTGGGTTTTGATTGATTTGTTGTGACTTCTTGTGTTTATGCGTGATGCAGGAAAGCTATAATTACATGAAAACAAATTATATAATATGAATTTCTTGAATTAAAAAAGGTGTGAACTTGGTGTTAAATTCTTGCAAATGGGTAGTTCTCCTTGAAATTTGAGCAAGTTAGTTTGCATTTATGAAATTGATTTTACTTTTTTACAGGTGAATAGTGATAGATCTGTAAAATTAAAAAGAAGATGAAAGAAAAGAAAACTCTGTTGATGTTGATTAATTCTGGTAATTCGAGAAAGTGGTTGAAAAAGAATGTGTTTTTGTAAATATAATACTAGATTTTAGTTATTTTTTGTTGTTGTTGTTGTGATTAATTTAGGAAATTTTAGGTCTTGATATCTTAAAACAATGTTATTGATAGAGATTTTTATGGAGTATCATCTTTCGGTTTTTTTTGGCAATTACTGTGTTGGAGTTTTGGACTTTGGAGGCTTAGAACAATTACCTGTTCTATAATTATACAAATAAAACTTCAAAATTGGCACTTGATATGGGCTGCTTGTCCCCTTTTTACTTTCACCGTCGGATCTAAGGGTCTTAATTATGCAAATTGTCGAGATTTTTAATTATGATGTGCTCAAATTATCTAAATCTATAATCCTATGTAACCAAGAAACTGTCTAATTTTAAGATTCAAAGTCTGTTTTTTTTAATAACTAAAAGTAATGATTTTGATCAACTTATTGTTGAACTTTGTATTAGTGAATTTTAATGAGTTATTTTAAAGATACAATGTTTTCAGCTGTGGCATACTAGTTCTATAAAAGTCTTTGGTATATTAGGATATTATGTTTTATCTTTGATTTGATATTATTGTTTGTAATCTTTCACACCATTTCATGTATCATTGTTAGCCTTTAATACTCTTTTTTAACACTATAAATGGTTGTATTATTTCATGAATGTATTCAAAGCTTTTCCACATTCTCATTCTCATAACTCTATCCGATGGTAGTTTGTTACTACAATTCATTTCAAAAGTAATGCTTTACATAAATCCTGATATAGACCTCATTTTTTTTTTTTCTACTGGTAGGATTCTTTGGAGATAGCATATCTAAACATCGCTCCTGCTGGCTACACATAGCTGCAGCTCAATATAAAATTGAAAAGAAAATAACTTTGACAGAATTTAAGGAGATAAAGAAGAAGTTTAAGCACACTTCACCTTGTTTTCTTGATACTTGTCCCCGTGCTAAGCGCACCAAGTTGATGGGTGGCCATCATGTTATCCCCAGGATAAGAAAGAAGCTAGACACTGAAACATTTGAGCATTACATGGAGTAAGATTAACTTCTAAATACTCCACTTATAATAATGTTTCCCTTATTTTTGGCCCATTTAGCATTCTTATTCTACTTTCAGGGTTGTTTGGAAGAGCTTTTCAGAAGAGAAGAGGATGTCATTTACATATCTTGATAGTCTGTGGTTTTCATTGTACCGAAAAGCTTCTACTAGAACTAAAGTTCTGACATGGATTAAAAAGAAAAGCATTTTCTCCAAGGACTACGTGTTTGTTCCTGTTTGTTGTTGGTAATTGCTGCTGTCGATTGAAATTTGCTGCTATACCATGCTATATCTGGGTTCTTTTCATTGACTCCATCTCTCACTTGATTTCTTCTTCTTATTCTTTTTGTATTTATTTTTTTATTTCACTAGGAGTCACTGGAGCCTCTTGATATTTGTCCACTTTGGTGATAGTTCTGACTCGAAAACTAGAACCCCATGCATGTTGCTGCTGGACTCACTTGAGAATGCAGAGCCAAAGAGACTTGAACCTGAGATTAGAAAGTATGATACTTCATTTTTGTTTCTGTAATTACTACATTTTACTTCAAAATTTGCTCTCCCTACTTGTTTGTTCTGTTTTTCCAGGAAAGAATTCTGACCTTAATACAGTTTTGGTGGTTTGCTTACCCAGTTAATCACTTTACGTTGTTCACTGGTTGTCTTTGGTTCAGGTTTGTTCAGGACATCTATAGGGTAGAGGGCAGGGAAGAAGACAGGAATGTGGTTTCTAAAATTCCTCTCCTGATACCTAAGGTGATCTTAGCCCTGATTGAAGTAAATGAACCTTGTACACATTTATCTATATTAAGGAACAACCCTAATCTGCTTTACGCATATATGATGCCATTTTCAGGTGCCTCAACAAAGGGGTGATGAGGAATGTGGAAGCTACGTTCTCTATTTCATCAACTTATTTATGCAATTTGCTCCTGAAAACTTTTGTGACTCTGATTTCCCATACTTTGTATGTACATGAGTCTTAATCCCTTCATTCTTTACTCCACGTATTTCTTTTCACTTTGTAATGTAAATTTTATCGTCATACTGTAGATGCATAAAGACTGGTTTGATCTTGAGAGCTTGGAGTATTTCCGCAACAGGCTTGAGAAGGAACTGTCTAGTAAAGTAGCTGTGAGAAGCAAACACTCTTCCAGTGTATCTCAGCAGAAGCTGTGTAAAAACAATGGTGTTATATTGCTGGATGACTGACCTTCATCCTTCTCTTGATGGGTGGCTAATGTATTTTTTGTAGCATAACAAACACTAGGGAAGAACCTCAGAAGCATAGCAATCAATTTGTATATACTGAAGCTAATGCAAAAATGTGTCAGACGCTATATTAGTCCTCTGTATTTTTGTGCTTCTGCATCTGTAAGTGTCACAGCTTGTACATAAAACTTGGATGGATTGACAAGCTAAATCTCTAACTTTTGCAGCACAGTTGTTTTATGGAGTAGCATTTTACAAATTGACCTTGATGTATTTGTTTATATACTTGTGTCAAGGTTATAAGCTGATAATATGGTAATACGATAGTATTCCTTTATATCGTATGTAACATTATCGTTGCCTGCCAAACTAGCTTTTACGAGCTCTTTTCATATTAAAAAAAAAAGTGTTTATGATTCAAAACCAACTTTAAGCTGTAAAACATACAAGAAACACAACCGAAACACAAATTCATACACATACTTTCTGCTCCTTAATTCATCTGTCCCTCACTCATATTCCAGAACTCGACTTCTAGCTCAAGAACTTGCAAAAGCATTGCTTCAGCTTTATTTTGCACATCCTGCGATCCCTTTGATACACATCGATCAGCAATCTTCTGCAGAGATTCACAATACTTGCCAAACCCTTCACTCCCCCACCTCTCACAAGCCTCTTTGAGTTCTGACGGAGTTTTGGCATCAGCTTCAAGACAGTGGGCAAAGCTCACTTGGTAAACAGCCTCGATAGCCCAGAAGGCCGTCATTGCCACTGCATAACTGACGTCTGGTTGCATCAAGCTTTCTAAAAACCTAAACATAGAGCACGTACGTGAGCACATTACAATCAGCATAAGGTAATACTGAAAAAAAGAAAAGATTTCTGTTATGATTAATCAATTATAAGCTGAATATCTGAGTCTTCATGATATCGAATTGTGTTATCTTTCTATATTTATCGATATTCTCAATTTAACCCCTTTGTTAGAGACCCGATCAGAGTATAATTAGACAGTTGAGCATGTCACCTGCAGTAATCCTGGTTTGTTTTCAGAGGAGTGATCTCACTGAGCTGTACATCCCATTTAGCAGCTTCATTCTTAAACCAAGAAATTTCATCATTCAGAGAAGCCAAACCAGCTAAAATAACTTCCATATCCGATTCATCATCTGATTCCTTACAAGCTTTCACCAGGACACTAGCAACAAAAGGAACAAATTTCCTGACAAATATGTAATCCTGACCCTGAATTCGACACAGAGAAGATACATACTGAGTATTTCCGATATTGATGTCATTACCATAAACAAAGAAATACAGACTAACCAATGCGAACATCAGTATTAGATAAACCAGACAGTTTACAGAAGCTATGATGAGGCCTTTTTCTTTTCACGTTGAAAAAACAGTCAAATCTGAGGGCAAGGGCGAATACAGTTATAGGGTATCTGAGTTCAATTCCTTAAAGTTCAAACATTCTTAAGTAGTTAAAGTTTGTTAAAATCTGTCATGGGAAATTGGGATTTTCTCACCATCAAAACACATGGTTAACTCTAATAATATCAAAATAATCTTCAAAAGAATCAATTTATGCCCAATTTCAAGCTTAAATTATATAAAAGACTATACTATATAATCTCTGATTAGTGTAATATGAACCACAAACCTACATTTTTACAAATTAATTTCTTCATGTTGAGACTTGAGAGTAAACACAAAATGTCAAAACAGGAAGAACTTATAGAGACGGAGAAAGTAGCGAACCAGCCAGCGTTTGAAAGAGGAGAGATTAACGGAGCCATCGCGGATGGAGCGTATAAAAGCGTGGCGAGTTGCTGCAGTGTAGACTGTATCATGGTTGTTTACCCAAGTTTCTATGGTTGCCATCTTTCCCCTCTCTTTCTCTCTCCTTTGACTTTTCCTTTGCCTCTGCCTTTTGACTTTTTATCTCTCTTGCTTGCTACGGAGTACTCCGTATTAGAGATGGCAGAGTGTGGCAGTAGTTTAGACGTGCGCTAAGCTAGTGACACTGGAAAATTTGTTGAAGAGTATTCTGATTTCAAGCCATTAGATGAGGCCTAATTTGACTTGGTTCGGCGGTTCGAGTCGGGATAATCTAGGTTGAAAGGTCACTTAATAAAAGTGGGACACAAAAGTAGGTTGGGTCAAAGACATTGTAATGAGAGAACTCAGAGAAGTGTACATGCTAAGTCGCTAAAATGATCAAAGAAGATAGGTTTTAATGAAACATTAATGAAAGAAAGTTCAAATTTAATAGTCACATAAGAAGTTTATTTGTATATTTATAGGATGTATAGAAAATAATTAGCATCAATTGAAAAAAGGACACTTAGGGTCTGTTCTCATTGAATGAACTCAGCTGAACTGAACTGAACTGAATTGAACTGAGCTGAGCTGAACTGAGCTGAAATGAATATTTTACAAGAGAAGGAAATTAAGAGCTGAACTGAACAGAACTGAATTGAGCTGAACTGAACTGAATTTCAACGTAAGAGAACATGCCCTTAATCAAAACTTAATTGGAAAAAATTCATCTATGTCTTGTTATGCAAAACTAACCTATAATTTTTACTTCTATATATCTCTAATCTCCAAATTAGAGTCTATAATCAAACGTACTACTCTCTCCACCCTCAATTTAAGATATAATTTTTCTTTTGTAAAATTTAAGAAAGGGATTAAAATAATATTAGTGGTTAATTAAAAGTACCTATGGAGTATAATACAATAAGATTGTAAACTTTGGTTTATAAAAAAGTGAACAAATAAGACTTTTATTTAGGGACAGGGGAGTATATCATTATTTTAATTTGTGGTTCTTGTCTATCTCTCTCTCCCATGTCTTAGTCTTATGGTTAGAATTTTACAAATATCAATCAATCATATAAGTATATAACTCTTACACAGAGTAATGTTCAACACACATGCACTATGCCTTTCAATGTGTTACAAACAACAAGATTAACATAAAAGAATAGAATATGACAGTGGATACCAATTAACAATAGTTGTTTTGGGTAAGTCTGCAAGGTAAACTACAGATACGGAGTAATGTAACGCCTGTTGTCTGTGTGTAAAAAACGGAGTCATAATGTTTTTATAAAGGTAAAAAAAGGTAGTACCTTTAAAGTGCACCAATTGATGCTAATTGCTAAATTGGTGTTGAAAAAAGTGTTTTTGCTGTTAGAAAATTGAAATTAGTTGGTAGATAGGTGGGTTTAATGCTGAGTAGTGAGTAGTAATAACTGGATGGGCAACCTAAATTCAATCAGATCAAAATATCAAATTCTACTATACTTAAGTGTACAATGAATTCTTACGAGTTTCGAGGTATAGATATGCCCGAGTGTATAATAGATGCTCTTGAGGCCCTTAATGTACAACCATGTGGAGTTGTGGACTATTAGGTATCATTGCAGAAGTTAATCTGCAAAATAAAGCGTAGTTTATGGTGATTCCCCGCTTGATATAAATTAAGCTAAAAAAACAAACATGATCGAGATTAATGTCCTTATTGTAGATGTATAAATCAAAGGCAGTCTTAGTTATAAACTGGCAGGCTAACTTCCAGACAGAAAATGAAATGAGTGATCAAGAAATGACTACTAAATTCACAACAACAGAGTCAGGATAGTTGCTAGCGACAGCATCACTAACAAAAGGCAGAGTCCTTCCACTGAACTCTAAAGACGAGTTTGGGTTCACAAGTGAAGGACAACTGGACAAGGCATGTGTTGTTTGTGTACAAGGGCCCGTCGCAGTTGTACAACTCTTGTTCATAGTACGAATCGCAATCCTAAAAGTTAACGAACAGAATAAACAACAAAACAAATTATGCTTCAATTTGAATGACTAGTTTTTATTGACAGGAAGTGGGGAAGGATGGTGTCAATTCTCATTTTACATTGTCTATAAATCAAGTATCCTCTTATACTATTACTGAGGAAACGATAAAAATAGCATATAATTGAAACAAAAGTAAATGGTATATAGGCATATAGCTAAGTATCTCACACAGTTCTGTTTTATCAGCCATTAATCTCATCCTTTTTCTTGCCCTTCTCGGTTGGTGCTTCCGCGATTGATGGCCGTTTCCAGTTTCCAGTTTCCAGTTTCCACCACAGATATGTTCTAAAGAGTGTGCCGTAGAGAGCTTGAATTATACCAAAAATAAATCTGCCAAGGATCCTTTCCATAAAGTAGTCGAGTGTGACACTTGGACACATAAATATGTACTTCGTGTCGTACCACAATTTTTGACATATCTTGCAGCTTCCACACCTGGGTGTCTAGACTATCATTCTTAAAATTAAGGTATTACTGTACCTATACGGGCTATATCATATACATGTGTGATCGGCTGTATATTTGTATTCTAAGGCATGTTGATTGTTGATCCCTCCTTAGGCATTGAATCAATACTTCAATCCATCGTACTCAAAACTTTACATTTCACTTGAAGTATCAATGCCAAAAATTGCACATTTCATTTCATTTCATTTCAGGCCAATGCCAAAACACGAAATTTTTCACAAATAACCAAGCCCGGACACTTGGACATGTACCCGAAAAAACCCAGGTTTCTGAATTGGCCACGGATTTCACAGTACTATACTCCCAAAACAGTAGCAGATGAACAACAAATCAATGAGGCAACTTCACTTGAAATCAAACACAAGAACACCAAAAACACTTACAAACCAAACAAAACCCACCATTGAAATCAAGCAGGTATCGGACCCGGAGTCGACCCAACAAACCGACTCGGCGGATTTAAACTCGGCGGAGGAGCAGAAATCACCGGCATTGGAAGATCAGCAGGCGGCGGCGGAACAGGAACCACCACCGGAGATATCATTACCGGCGCCGGAGGCGGTGGTGGCGGCGTCATTACCGGGCTAGACCCCGAGCCCGAACCCGAACTCGGAGGTGGATATAGGTTCGGGTTCGGAGGCGGGCTTAAGGTTGGGTTAACATTAGGAGGTGGGTAAGGGGATGGATTCGAGTCCGGGTTCGGGTTGGGGTTAGGAGTAGTGCTAATCAAAGGAGCTGGAATTGGATTTGGAAATTGTTGAATAGTAGGTGAACAAGAAGAATCAGAAGAAGATTCAGAGCATTTATGAGATTTTCTAACGCCATGTTTGATGAGAGTGAAGCCCAGAATAAGGCCAATGAAAGCAAGAACAATGACAATGAAGATGAAGATCTTGGTTGCTTTACCAACATAACACATTTTGAGCAAAAAATGGGAGGAGAGAGAAAAGTAGTGAGTGAGTGAGAAAGAAGAAGAAGATGAAGAGGGGATTTGGATGATGGGGTTATGGTGTGGTTTATGGTAATTGGGTGGGGAGTGTGGTGCGGCATGTGAGTGGCATATTGACAAGTGGTGGGTTACATGTGAAATTACAGCTCAGTAAACAAATATAGGTTGGTTTTAGTAGCTTCATATGTGGCTTGCTTTTAGTAGTCTAGTACAGTAGCCTTTAATGGCGTTGTTTCCAACTATACCTGTATCGCAGGTTGAGTTTCCTTGGTCAACTCAACCATTCTATTCGTAAAGTTAACAAATGCTTTGGGGCGTTAGATAAATTAATACTCCGTACTTTATTTTGATTAATATATATTGAATACGTTTGTAATTTTAGCATGCATTCATTAATAAAATCCTTTTGAAAGTTCAGTTGCACTTTATTGCATCTGTTTTAAAATGTTTTCACTTAGTTTTACTATACTCAATTTTTAATTGTATAGGAAGTACTATTCTCTTTGTTTCATTTTTAAGTGTTCCAATTTTAAATCCTATGGAGTACATTATTAACACACCTTTTTATCCAATATTGATTATTGTGAATACTTATTGTAATCGTTACGCTAGTCTACGTTGTGTCAATATTAAGAATTTAAAAAAAATAAATGAAGTGTTTAGCAGTCAGGTGCTTGATTAGGGCATAATGATAATTTCATTGTTAAAAAGATGATTCTCTCTGTTACTCCGTATCTTGTACTCAGTGCTCGTATGATTGTTTGGGTCACCCACTTGATCACACTACCTTAACCTTTTTAACATGGGAGATGAAAAACTGAAAACTGCTTTCTCAATTCCTAGTCCCTAGGATCACAACCAAATGTTCTCATATAGTCGTATATACAATTGTTGTAAATGTTAAGAGGTGACATTTTTATTTAGTTGATAGAGTACAGAGTTACATACAAGGGTAATTACGTAAATACGTAATAACATCATAGTAACATACGTAGTACAAGTACATATTTTCAAATCTTACTCTGTATAAGTTACGGTTCCACATATCATAATTACGTTTATTTAATTTATTTATTTATTATAACAACTTAGGTTATGTTATACTCCGTAAGCCTTAAATTCTTAATTATCTAGTTGAACGATGCGATGGTAATTCCATCGCTGTCTGATTTCACCGGATGATCCATGGAAAGTATGCGAGCATGAATAGAAGTCTGAGTGGATGCATCACTGTGGCTGGAGTTACTACTAGATTTGTTCAGCTCACTCTCAATGTTTTCCCAAATTATATTGTTGTATTTCGCAATCGGCCCACACTCCACATAAACCTGCAACATACACCATCAAATTAACAATTACTAAGTAATATACTTGTATTTGACAACTAACACTATGTTGAACATTGTTTTCAATTTTCTTTTTAAGTCGTCTTTATAAAATTCTTAGTTAGGTGACTTAGGTCCATACCTTCTTAGCATTTATATCCCTAGGGTTGGACCAAGCGACGAGCCATCCACATTGAAGTCCAGTTTTGCTTCTGCCACTATAGACCACGGCCTCTTTAATGCCATCTTGAATATTGGCTAGTATGCTGAACCCAATAGTGACACCACTAGGTATAACATCCTTATACTTTTG